AGGAAGGACTGCCTACAGACTACATGGCTGTCTTTGAAACTTTGTCCTCAAAGAAGGCCTACGTATATGTCCTCAAAGAAGGCTTAAGTATAACTGCTCAGTAAAATCGACGAGAAACTGAAGATGTAGAGATTTTAAAGTTTTAATCTGATCTGATACATCTTTTAGACCTTCAAGAGTTCACTGTTGTCTGAGGTCTGTAGCTGGTCTGCAACTTAACCACGTGGGTTCCGGACCAGCAACAGTCACTGAATCCCTCGAGAGGGAATGCCCTTCTGGGAATCACCCCCGGTCCACGCGGCAGGAAAGCCGTCCATGGAGTCACCAGCAACTAGGAGCCCTTGCATTCCAGAATGTTCCGTCCCTAACAACACTCGTGCCCTAGCGCGCGGTTGAGCATACGACCGGAATGAACACCTCGAAGCCCAGTTCCGATGCCTGAAATAACCTGCCCATTCCTAACGATAATGCGTCTTTTCGGAAGCGAAACGACAAACAAACAAATAACCAGATGTGCCCTCCCCCGATTTTTTTTCTTGGGAGCAGCGGCGCGGGCCCTCTTCCGTGTGGGCGGGTTTCCTTTTTGGGGGGTGGTTCAAGGCAACGGACTCAATAGGTTGCATGCTCTCGTGGCAGACTGCGGGTCGAGAAGCCGCTGACCTCAGAACATGGTCGGTTTCCGGGAACATGATGAACATAAATCGCCATTTCCCATTCAAATCGGACCACAGGACAAGGCAAGCGACTCTACCGCAGACGAAGAAATCGACCCTAGTCACGCACTCACGCAGCATCTTGAGTCATAAGCATGCGATACCCGTCCAAGACTCCAAGTCACTGACACGGCGCAGACGGCCTGTGTCCTTAACACCCTGGGGTGTAGTTCACCAATTCAAGTCCCATTGAAAACAGTGTAAAATCAGCATTGTTAAGGGCATGCACGCCAACACCCCTCAGGCTTCTTTACATTTCTTTTCAATTTTTTGTGGGCTGACCAGCTGAATTTTTAATTATTCACACAAAACAAAATCACCTATCGAAGAGTGATATTTCTGGAGTCTGCTTGCAGCCATTTTCAAGTGTTTCTTTACTTTCGCAGGCACTTGGGACCATTTTTTTTCAACTTTATTCTTTATCCATTCTGCTCTCACCTGGAAGCCTAAAGAATCAGGAAGAGTTGATCCTGGGAAAGATTTACACAATCTCGCCATGTTGGGGGTCAAACAATCTCCCTTTTCAAAAGATACTGTGGGGGCATTTTCATGCTAATGAGCTGGCCAGAAATTCCCACTTGAATTGGTGGACTGTACCCTGAATCAATCATTTAATACAAGACGTAAAAACAAAATATCTCATGCAACATTCTCGTTTTTTTTCACGACAGTTGCTTTTAAGTCTTTGCCCACGGGCATACTAATTTACTTCCCAGAAATGTGCGGAAGTTTACTGAGAGCAAATGGGAAACGACAGAAACAAAATCACCTGACTACTTCCTACTCCAGAATGAGGGACGACACACACCACACGGTGATAAGTAGACAGGTGAACTTCGTATGGTGATTTCATCAAGACAATCACGTTCATGTCATGTCTGGCTTGAATGCCGCCCGCGCCATCTCGCCTTCAATCAACTGGGGACGGTTGAGGTCTTGCAAGGTCTAAACGTTTCGGTATTTTCCTTCCAAAAGGAACAGTTCCGATTTAACCATCCACACGTGAGCCACCGTATCCCCTAGTGATAGGACACGCGATAATTGCGCATCTCTACTGAATTAAAGATATCAAAACACCACCAATGCATTCGTCTGCTTTCACCTTTAATTTGTACTTTTGAGGGAACATTAGCCACTCTTGTCGAGCATACCATGCGATATAACTGAGGGGTTTAACACTTACATGTATGTACCTTTACATCATTGCCGGGGACGAAGGTGCAGATTTTGTACGGTGCTTCCTATCTGCCACAATTTAATAACCGCCTCTCAAGTATTCTACAAAGCGAATGGATTTTTGTTAGGGGATTCGATAGTTCTGATTTAATTATGATAAATTCATGACGGCTGGAGAACCGTCCTTAAGTCGAACTCTTAACTTTCTGAAAGTGTTTGGCCATTTTGTGATTTCTGTAAGATAGATTCTTGCTGTCCTTGATATACCGATCAAAGTTATTTGAATTGCCCCAATGCGTCTACCGTTTTCTTCTCACGGAACTGAATGAGTTAACTGAATGAGTTAATTGACTGAGTTAACTGAATGAGTTAATTGACTGAGTTAACTGAATGAGTTAACTCATTGAGTTTCTGAATGAGTTTCTGAGTGCTGCAGGAAAGTGCAGTTGTATTTCGGTTTTGGTTATATCTGGGTCGTTCAGCTCTTTTGAAAACTCACTAGTTTCCATGGATACAGAAGCCATTAACGGGCGTGTGTCATCGGAGGGCAAATATCACAGCAAGCCGCACGATTACGACGCCGTGAGTGCACATAACCGTTCGTTTGTGGCAAATAAAGTGAATCGAATTCCAACTGACACACCAAAAGTGTTCAAGAGACCATTTGACTTTAGTTTTTTCCAGTGTGAAAGGGAGTTGCTGGTTTCAGCAATGCTTTGTAGAAGTCCACGCTGTACGTCTTTGTGGGGTTGTAGAATTCTGTGCGTTTTCGAATAGCCGAGCCGGCATGATACGGGGGTTACCTCTTTCTTCGTAAACGACTGTTGTGTGGACACCATCATGATGCCGTACCAATCTCGAGCCAGTACGACGTCAACGTGTAGGCCCAACCACACCGATTCCTTGACCACAACCACAACCTGCCCAGTATTAATATTGTGTTTGTCATTTTAACCCAATTGTATGCGAGTCCTGTATGGTCAAGCGAGGGCCTTACGAGCCTAAAAAAATAGATTCAGTGGCCGGAAATGTGAACTGGAAGGCCAAAGTGATATCCAAGGCCAACTGCTAGCGGTTGCAGGCATGTGGTCAATTGAATAAAATAATATTTATTTGTATTTTATTTATATTGCAATTTTGAATGAAAAAAAATTAAAGGACGTAAAATTTAGGGACTTGTGTGAAGTATAAGGCTCAGAGTTCTGATTAGAGGGGAAAAGGGAAGGGGGTCTAGGTTTCATCTGACACCGGTACTATTCGCCAAAACGGATCATCAGACACGGAAAGTCGTTGACAATGACCTCAACATTTTGGCATGAATAAACATTTCAGATGACTCTAAGTAGGCGCCTGCTCAACGCTGGGGAGAAGTGGGGGTGCCCCATGACTTGAGAATGATCCCCCCCCCTCGATGAAAAACAAACAGGAAAGACGGAGATAAAAATGTCGGCGAGTAAATCTAACGAAACACAATTGCAAACTTCTATCATTTACGGATTCTGCAATGCACAAGGTCACAAGGTGTAAGTCCGGTTCCCCTGATAAAGCACTCGCCACACACGTGGAGGATATATTTCCACGCAACGGACAATTGGGGGGAATTTTGCGCAAATCCACATCCTGAACACTATAAGTGGGAGACATTCTTCGCCCTGAAGTTGACGATGTCTTCTTCTCGCCGATATTGTGCAATATGCCTACACACGCTAATTAGTATTTTGGTTGATGTAATTTCAAAGGTCTGTCTTGAAATTTCTCAATGCTCCCTTCTGCTCCGTACGTCACAACGGATTACCGATACCTAGTTTCACACTGGATTCAAAGAAAAAAAAGGAAAAGACTGGTGTTAATTCTTTTCCAAATATCAAAAACTGAAACCGTGCTTTCATTTCCGTCACCAAAGCCAAACTAAATTAGTATGTAGTTGGTGGAGTGGATGGAAGAACACGGTAGGTCTACACCAACAAAATGAAACAGAGGGAGTGATTTAGACTGGGAGCATGATCTCTGTCGGGTCTTGCTTCTAACCTCACCCCAAGCATTCCAGTCTTTTAGTTGTCTATTTTTTCAAGCAACTTTTATTGTCTGTATACTGTTTTGATTTACGGCCTGAAATAAACAATAGCCAGGTATTAAAAAGCTCAAAAGACATTTTTTCAACAGATGGCTGATTTATAACTTCGGAAATATTTAGGATAGTTTGCACACAGCGTATCTCATAAACTAACGAAAGGTATTTGTCAACAAAAGTATCGAGATACAAAGCAGGGGAATTGCTCATGGCGACGAGAAGGGTCAAAATTTCAAAAGTGATTGATTCTGAACTTGGAACACAGCCGCTGAATAATAGGTCAGATATGCCACCACTCGGTGATTTATAGGAAATTGCGCAGCCCGTGGAAAACCACAAAAATGTAGGACTATTCATGTGTGCCGTTGACACAGCAGAAGCGATGGGAACAGTAGATACAGTGGTTTTCAAGGGCAAAATAAAAGCCTACATTTTATTCACGCATCAACTGACATGGCAAACGCTTTTGTGGTTATTTCAAGCGAAATGAAAAAAAAAATTAAACGTGTAGATATTCTGCGCATCACGGATCCAGTAGTGGACATGCCTGCTGTAACGACACATTAAATAATTCTTCAAAACTGTCATTAGAATTTAGGTCACGTGGAAGCTCGGTTGAAAAACTTTTTAATTTAGTATGTAACAGAAAGCGAAACCGAGCAAGTTCCAAACTGCCGAGTTGAAGGTTTATGAGCGCCGAGCTGGACCCAAGAGAGGGCGCAATTTTCCTAGCAACGAGGAGGGGCTCCTTTGGTTTAACTGCGCATTACTGATTCAAGACCAACAATGGAAGACAAAGACAAGTGTTGTGGACGCATCGCTACAGGCTGAATGAATACTCCCGACCAACACAACACTTTTCAACCGATGAGGGGATGCTTCTGCTCAAGGCAGATTTAAGTGGCTCACTATGGGCAACATTTTTCGGTAAAATTTCGAAGTGAATGCTCCCAAATACAACGTGCATTTCGGGCACTGTGTCCAATGTAAAATTGCAAGCGATCAAGGGAAAAACTAACCCAAAGCAACTAATACAAAAATTTCTATTCACGTGAAAAACTTTTTTAAGATTTCATCGCCGGGAACAATGTCTGTTCTCCTAATCAAGACAAAGTTTCAAGTGGGCTTTCCATAATAAAAGGGTTGTACATACCCAAAAAAATGATTTTATGCCATGAAACACTGTAGAAAACGACGTTTTGTATCGAAACCGTGTGACCCGCCGGCCTTGATCATTTTCCATGATGAATTCAGACTGCTTGAAAAACCTCGGTAAAACTGCTCCGGCTTGTTGCTTCTGGAATACAAATCGTGTAAGAGGCCACAACCACCTCACTCCCAACTCAAACTTGAAGCTGACCAACAGACACAAACTGACTTTTCAGTTTTCAGATCTGTCACCTGTGTTAAAAGTGAAACATTTTTCTCGAAGTATTTTATTACATGTACCAAAGTAATGTACGAAAACACCTGAATGGATAATCGAAAAGCGACTTCCGCAACGTTATGCTGGCAATCTACTGTAGAGCTTTGAGGAAAGACAACGTAGCCTATGATCGAAATTGTAGCTTTGCAGACTTTCGCAAAAATAAAGAATGAAGAATCCTGGCCCACAACTGTAACGATGTCTTGTAACTGCAACCTATTAATGTGCTTATAAATCACGGTAGATCAGTGGTGATGATCATTACACTGGATGCTCTCTGAAGGTCCACCACCTTGTCAATAACCGTCTAGTATCCAGTTCAAAACTATCACGCACCGCGCCCATTCCTTCGATAAAGGGGCACGCCGGAAATTCAAAACCCAGCCTCTGAGAGCGCCAAGGTCATGTCATAGACCTAGGTCGTGGAGACACGCTCCTTCAGCTTCATGGGCTTCCACCCCACCGTTTCGCTCACTCGACAACACCACAAAAGACCATCCCGGGTCAGCGCTGCCCCCGTGTCTCACATAGAGGGCGCTACACAAAAAGGCATTAAAAATCTCTTCATGTTAGACGGTAAATCGTCTCGGCTCATTAGGCCAACAACCTGTTCTTGTACTGAATATGTGTTCACAGTACATGTACAGTACTTTAACTGAATGGGTTTACTGTACTTTTGTTCTACGACTTCTTGTTAGTTTGCAAGCAACAACAGGGCATTCCCCCATAATGAAGGCTGCCAAAGTTTATCACCCTGCCCCTCAGGACAAAACGGAGAAAATGCAATTGAAATTGGGGAGAAGTCTACAATGCCATTATTTGACAAGCTGGGAAGCCAACAGGATATTTGACCCCCCCCATATGATGTATACGACAGGGAAGTGTGGTACCAACCTTCCTAAAAACAACTAATTATGAACTTCATGTAAATGTGCACAAACAATAGAAGCCAAAACAGCAAACAAAAGAAAAACACCTGCTGTTAGGGTGGGTATATACATGTACTTAAATTTCAATTACATCTTAAGAAGAATATGCCAGGGTTGTCACCAATAAAAAAAGACCAACAGCACAGGAAAAAAAATTGCTTAAATTAGGAGAATAAGTAGACCATGACTATTGAAGCTGTGGGGTCTCTGAATGATATCCGCATGGTCACTGTACAATTTCTGTGTTAAGCTCTCCTATACGATACAGTCATGGTGAGTACAAATGTAACTTGAGAATTATACTGCTCTTCCTAGTCAAACCTTTGGTGTTTGATGGTCAGATCTTGCCAGGGGAACTTTTGAGATTGTGTCCCTAAATGAAGACATTTTACAATAATTCAGAAGTTGCAGGCCTAGCAGTCCTGATGCTAAGTCACTGGAATGCTATTATTAAAGAGACTTGTATTTCGATGAGGGTGAAAGAAAATTAGCTCTGCAGTGGGACGGGTGAAGTATGAAGTATCGGTGCCTTCCATGAGGAATCCTGCCCCGATGAGCCAATCACTGGTGTCACAACTCAGTTTGCTCCCTTCTTGAATTATTTATCAAGCATCCCATGACTGTGGTATGGACTCAACGCTCAAACAAATGACGGGGCTTTGCGAGTACATGGAGTGATGTTCACGTCCACTGCACTGGTTCACTTTCTCTGTTCACCTATTTCCGTGCCTACATGTACCAGACTTCTCCAAGCAAGATGATGCCCAGTAGCATTCTTTGCCGCTTCGTCACTTCCGAGCAGGATCGTTTTTCCGTTCACATCGTTACCCAGGCTCAGCTCAGGCAGGTGGCTGACCCAAAGCTGGATACACCCTCAGGGCAGCGATTCTCCCGGCGATGATGACGTGGGCCCACACAGCCAAGACAACAATTGTAAGAACCTGCAAGCATTTTATGGTAGGGACATGCATAAATGAGCGAGGGCGCTGTTTATTTGGGAACTCATTTTCTTAACTAGGAAATTACGATTAAAATTTGTCTTTTTCTGTAGGCTGTAGCTCCTCTATTTAATTTCCAATTTCAAAATTTTAGAAATTTCGACCAAAGCCAGCAATTTAGTTCATTGAAATAAGATCAACCATTTTATGGAAATGTGAATTTTAAACTTTTCAGTCAAAACCTGTGCACTCTTTTTAGTGTACTAGAAAATCAGTTTGTTCTGCATTACAAACATACAAAAAAATCTCGAAACATTTCAAAATATCCCTGCTTTAAATCAGTATTTCTTTGCTTTGCAGAGTCCAATGGAATCTAAACTTATGTACATACGTTTCTTATGACATCCTCTCAAAGATCACTTCAAAAAGAACGCAGGAAAATAGGGCCTCGTTAAAAAACTTATGAGCATCCCTTTGTATGGAGCAAGGTATGCACTGTGTAAGCCAAACATCCAGTACATGAACTATTTAGCATATTAGGCAAGGTCATTACCACATTACAGCTAATCTAAATTTTCTAATAATTCTTTCCTTAGGGTGATAATGAAAAAAATACTGGTCCATTCTATCCAATGTTTGAAATAAATTGAAAGCTTTCCAACAACTAAGAACCTGCCATTGGCAATTGGTGTGGTACGACGAATTTATATCACTATACTCCCTTGCAGTGGTTTACGGCTTGACATGGCTATGGGTTCCACATACGGACGCCACGCGCCAGTACTTATCCCCAACAGTGACCCGTTAGCCATCAGAAAGCAAAAACATGTCCAGAAATGTTCAATTAAGGAAGGAAAATACGAAGTCGTTTACTGAGAAAACACTTTGAATTTTCAGACCAGTCTCACAGAGTTTGGACCTCTTTCCCATAACATGTCCTAAAAGTCCAATATAGCAAGGAAAATATTGAAGCAGTTACTTTAGATAGCATTTTCAGGCATGTCCCGTACATGTAGGTTTGTGAACAGGCATGACACAGCTCACAGGGGGCGACAAGTGGTGACAAAATTTATCATGTTCATGAAATTAAATCAGCCTAACCGCAGCTAACGTTACTCACCAAAGAAACGATGATATCTTGAACCTTTTTACTGAAATGAATCATGCTTTATCTGCCAAAGTTGTATCTTCTGGCCCAATAACAGTCACAATCGAGCAAATCGCACTCGCATTTGGGGTACGTGCAGCAATGTTTTGAGCAAACGTAACATTTCGTGACGTAACCTAAGGACTAGCTCATACACCATGTACAGTCATTTCTGATTTGCTGCCGTAAAGGATGTTGGGACAGTTTCACCAATCAACGCAGGTTTTAGTGATTTCCCACAGAGTATTGCAATATTAGGCTGTTCCATGATACTTTCTGGCCTAAGCCCTTGAAAATAGATGAGAAAGGAGCATCGGTACCAGACTGGTGTACTTGAAAATGCGATTACACAAGAAATGACGACGGAGGAAATAGTGACTACTTTTATAAGTTTTGTTTGGAAAAAATTCGTGATCATAATGGAATCGTGGAAACCAGTGAATAGCTCTTACATTTAAAGAAGCTTTTGACAATCTTACGGAAGAGTTTAATATGTTAGGCCCTAATTATCATGGCAATAAAAATTGAAATAGCATGTCGTGGGCCTAGGCCTACATTGATGTACATGATGTATGATGACCGAAAAATGTGTAAGTTGCCGATCAGAAAACTCTCACCATCACATTCATTCTCGAGGTTGGGGGTTGTTCCATTTATTGCACTCACGTTTGGGCAATGGGCAACTCTTCATTCACGTTGTATAGGCATGACAGGGATTTGCATGTTTTCCTCTCTTTTCATGTTTTTTTGGCAGCAACGTGATAAAAGTAACTAGGACCTAGGCCCTAAAACCAGGCTTTTCAGTAAAGTGTGGGAAATGTTTATAGGCCTAGCGCATAAATAGTGAAATTTCAGGCACATTTGATGTAATGGTTGAGAGTTGGAGTCACTCCGCTACACTATTTTTGCCCCTTTGAGTCTTAAGTGTGAAAGATGGAATAGCCATCAATTGACCAATCGGAGAGAAGAATCAAGAATGAGTGACGTCATCCTAACCTCAAGAATGGCATTCTCGGTGGGCTGGGGGGGGGCTAACTTGTCTCTGACTATTGATGTACATGAGCTTGATGAACTACATGTAGAAATAAAAAAGATGGACTTTGCCCCCAGCATTGCCCAGCTTTGCTAACGTAGACTTAAAGGTCCTGCCCCCCCCCTTCACCCCTGGTTCCGATTCCTCCCCCATTTGACATTTTGAAATAAACAAAACTAGTCCTACAGTGCAGCCTACCACTGTAGGCCTACATTTATATGGAAACTATAGTCATCACTGTTAATTTGCTTTTGGTGTGTCCTTATAAAATATGTAACCCCTCCCCAGTCATGTCTGTGTTTTGCCCATAAAAAATCTTGAAGTTTAACCTTGCATGAATTAATTGTATTCCATTCTGAGTTAATTTGCCTTTAAATAACAACCATTCATAGTATAATCGACTCAAGACGGAGTACAATAAATTTACGCAAAGTTCGAGATTACACTTAACCATGTTAACAGCCGTGTGACGTAGGTCACATATAGATTTTTACTAGTTGTAGTAAGTGACTTGTTTTTGAAAGGATTTCACACTCATTGATAACCAGTTTATCTGGACTGCTTTGTTCCTTCAACCGAAGCAATGTACCATTTTATCCCGCTTTGCCCAAAGTACAAAAATATCCCCTCTTACACCATCAGGTGTGTCTTTAGTTGGGCTGGACAAGTTTTCAGGATTTATATTTTGTTGGAAAGGTGGAAGAATGGCAGAGATGCGTTTGACGATAAAAAGATGATTATTACAGAACCAAAATCTATATCAGTTTTTTCCATTGCCAACGAAAAATCCTTCTGAACATTTTTGGGTTCTGATAATTCTGGGGCAACCTGTCGTATGTATGGACTACTTTTTAGGGCGCATATGTGCGTGTGAAGTTGTGAATCAAAACAATAAAAAGACCCGAATTTCATTTGAATCTATGTTTCACACGTGCCTGTACATACTAATAGTACATGTAGTTTTGCTTTTTGCTGCAGATTCAAGATGGTAAGTGATACAGCACCAGGTAACAACTGAGTATCCAATGCAGTCTGAGATGGCAAGTCCACCCGCTACCCCACTGCGTCTGTCACCAACATATGAAGAGGCGGAGGGAGGTTCGTCATCGAGGAGCAGCTCCCCAGACAGTAATTGCCCAATCTGCCTGGGCAAAGTCAACAACAAGGCCTTCACTGACGCCTGCTTCCACACCTTTTGCTTTGTCTGCCTGCTGGAGTGGTCCAAGGTGCGGCCCACCTGCCCGCTGTGCAAGACCACCTTCAAGTCCATCATTCACAATGTGGTATCCAACGACATCTACGACCAGTACCACCTCAAGCCCTCGGACACTGGGTCCTTTGGGACAGACAGCCGTGGCAGGCGCTTCCGGTACTCCACCACCTTGACAGAGGAGCATCGGGTGGAGCTGACGTGGCGGCGCAACCGTGCACTGGAAAGGAGGTACCAGCGTGCCCATGAGGTCCACCTCCAGGCGGCCGCTGTTGAGCGCCGGCGCATGATCTACCGGGCTGGGCTCTGGGTGAGGCACATGGGGTCCAACCGCTTCACTCGTTTCCGCGACATCTCCCCAGAATTCTTCCAGGAGAATCCAGCCACCACCCACCGCCTTGTGCCCTGGCTGAGACGGGAGCTTGGCATACTGTTCAGCGGCGAGGACCACGTGACTTTCATGACCCAGTACATCCTCTCACTGATCCCTAATGTCCATATACAGACGGAAGAGTTCCACGAACACTTGCGCCCATTCTTGTACGGCCAGACGGAGCATTTCATCCATGAGTTTGTAAGCTTTGCCCGGTCCCCGTATGACATGAACACCTATGATCAAATAGCACAGTATGACCTCGCGGCTGCGCGCGAGCCACAGCAGGCAGCCCCTCCAGCACCCCCATCGCAACAATCCAGCAGCGAATACAATGACGTCATCACTTTATCCTCGGACGATGAGGTTATTGAGGTCCCCACACTGAGAAGCCTCCTGCAGTCGGACAGCACCCCGTCCACTTCATCCCGAGACGCTGTTGAGCAAGTGGAGGCTCTTGACCTGTCAAGCACCCACAATCCAGAGCCGCCCTGCCCCTATGAGTTGGATCCAGACCAAGCTGGTCCATCAGGAATGGGGTCCAGTCAACCAGTCGAGGTCAAAGCGGAGCAGGGGGCTCCCAGGGAGAACGTCATCAGTGATGATGACAGCGACATTGAGATTGTTGAAGTCCTCAAGCCCTATGATGAAAGGACTCCCGAGTGCATTGTGCTGTTGTCATCCAGCACGGAGGAGGATCAGGACAGGGGCGAGTCGAGACAGGAGAAGAAAGGGGGAAAACGTCACAAGAAGAAGAAGCATACCTCAGAGTCACGTCACAAGGTGAAACAGCGCGGTGAGCACAGTCATCCGGAGAAATCTCACAGGCATTCGCGTAAGAAGAAGCACAAAGGCAGCAAACACCACAAGCACTCCAGCAGCACCAGATTGGAGCGTGAGAAATCTGTGCATGGGCACTTGCCAAAGCCGGAGGTGTATAGTTCCTACAAGCACCACCGGACGTCACGCTCACGGTCGCATTCAAAATCCAGTTCCTCCTCTCATCACACCTGGAGAAGTAGTCAAAAAGAGAGCAACGCGACTTTGGATGAATGCGTCAGGGACTATGGCAAAGGTGCCTCTACCAGTTATACCCATTCGGCACAGTCTCACCCTCGTAGTAGATCCAGGCAGAGAAGCGAAGAGACCTACGTGTACCCCAGAGATACCCACGGGCATGACAGAAGACACAGGTCAGAGGGTGAAAGCTACGCCCGCGCAGCCCAGAAAGGGGGAAAGCCGGACGAGAGCTGGGAGGTGCATTGGCATCACAGGTCCACAGACGTCTCTGAGCACAGCAGGAGACAGCATAACCATGATCACCATTACAAGGCCACGCTGTCCAGAAAGCACAATTCCAGCGACAGCAAAGATGACGGCCCGAAAGCCAAGATCAGACGGCCGGCCGACGCAGCGCACAGCTCGGGCCTGCATCTGAAGATGGTCTTCAGCCGCACCAAAACCACTACCGGGGACGATCCCACAAGGTCATCCAGTAGCAGCGACTTTGCCATGGTCAGATCCGGCCACAGACGACGCAAGCACGACAAGAAGTACAAAAAGCATAAGCGGCACAAATCAGACAGCAACCACAGGAGCAGGCAACACACGGAATACTCCAAGGACAAGCCTTCATGGATCAGCTTTTTGCCACTCGCACATTATCACAATGCTTACAGACCTCTCTCACTTTATGACGACGCTAGTAAAAGTGACGACCAAGGAAATGATGGAGACGAAAGCTCTGCCTCTACGGAAGAGGAGGGCAATGCTTTTGTGTAGCGGGAGGCATCAGAAGCCGTTATGGAACATACACCCATCACAGATTTCACGTCCAAAGCACAAATGAAGTGTGCGATTTGTCCCAAAAACAGAAACAGCTGCTTAATATGATGCAGTTCAACCGAGGGACAGTTTTGCTCGGACATGAATGTGTACAGTGTCCCTTACATCATGACAGTGTATGAAGTGTGATATTTGACTGTGGGTTATTTGTATATTTTGTACATGTTTGTTAGGCTTTTGTTCTGTTTCTCCTAGGCAAGCCTGATGTTAGTGTCTTCATACAGGTTTCTTAATGTCTGTTGGGCTTTGCAGATTTTTCTTTAAAACATTCTTTTAAGACGTCAAGATATTAGTTTTGAGGGAGACACGAGCAACCAACAAAAAGCAATCCAGCGAGGCACCGAGCCCCGTCTCGGCATTTAACTTTCTGTGTAGCAATGGACACTTTCCTTTTCGATTAAATTGGAGACTTTCAGGTGGGGGGAATACAGAATTCAAGATAGAGGTGTTATTGACTGTTGTGATGTGGGACATGATGTTTTAACACCCTCAGGGATGAAAAGGACCCTTGGCTTCACCTTGTGTTCTGCGAGTCCATCAGGTGCGAAAACATCATGTCTCACATCAAAAGCAGTCACCAATCAAGTTGATGTACATGTATCAGTTGAATTCCGAGGGGGCTTGTGGTGGGATTCCTGTGTGTTTACAATTGCCAGATATTGTCTTTTATTTCCTTACATATTCATGCCTATACAGCTTTGGCACAAGTGCATGTACATGTATGTGCGTACGAACTGCTCTGATATTTTTGGCCTTTGAAAAATTTCCTTTGAAATCACCCTCTCATCATGTTGCTGGATCCAGTTGGGTGTGTTTCATGTTTTCACCAGAACTGAGATTGGCTTGTTCTGTATGTACATGTATGCAGAAAAGTCCAAATGACGCCCCTGGTAAACACGGAATGATTGATGATGCGTTAAAAATAACCGGCAGTTGACAATGGAAGAGGCTTATCGTTGCACCAAATATGCAGACACCCATCTTGAATTGCAGATAAGGGACAGGTGCCAACATGGTACAGTACAGTGTACTTTTCATGAAGATGTGCCGAGAGTGAACTGTGCCCCACTTTAGACACATTTGAAGTTTCCATTTACATGTACACATGTATATTGTACCACTTCTAAGGCCAAACAAAAAATTAGTTGTGTTTCCTATTTCACTGAAAAATAAATTAGGGTGGTTGAGTGGGTAATTGTTTTTTAACTCTAAATTTTTGAAGCCCCCGATTTTTTTTTGGGGGGGAGGGCACGTATATTTGTAACAGGTACTAAGTCAGATTCATACTGTCTGACTGTACATGTACACGTCAATATTACATATCAGCACTGTGATTAAATAGTAAAGCAGCTGGTTGGTTGAAATACTAACACACAAGAGCCATCTATCTCAAAATTTAAACAATACAATGTACAGGACAATGTACACAAAATTCGGCTCGGGGCAAGGCACCATAAGTTTTTATATGTTATTGATTTGTCAAATTGATTTTCTAGGTTTGGTCGGTTAACCGTAAATACAACTATTTTTTGTATGGCTTAAGGGAAGAATCCACCATCTTAGCTACTGTAAATGTATGTGTTCATGTAGATTGGCTTGGCAACATTTGTGAGTGTGAAACTACAACTTCTGGATCTTGGCAGGCTTCATAGATTTGGACCAGGTTCAGAAATGCAGTCATTTGCAAAAGTTTAGGACCACCCATAGAGAATGCATTAATCTGAAGAAAAACCAAATTTAAACCAATCAATCATGGCGAGTTATGTTTACTTTCAGTGTGTACCCTTAGTATCTTGGTTAAACAGCCATTTGACTACATCTCCATGATTTGAAATGTTAACACTCTAGTGTTTAGTATGCCCTCCTTATTTCTGATTACTTAGTCTTTTTTACCCATGCTGCCTTACAGATAACGTGTCATACAAAACCTGCCTTTGCAACAAAATTCATGCATATGGCTCAAAGCACAACTCCAATGTTATCACCACTGTAAAAAAGTAAAATCTTAATCATTCAATGAAACAGTGTGACGCAGGCCCAGTGACAGAAATACCAACAGAATTCCAGGCGGTCTTAAAGTTTTGCAAATGACTGTAAGGCTCATTTTCAAGCACTTCTCACAATGCGGGACCTGTTGAGCATGACCTTCCCCCACCAAAACTAAAGAACCACGTCAAAAACGAAAAGGCTGGTTTTACCTAGACCCATGAAAAACTGGTTAATTGGTATTTATGATAAATATGCTTATTGACATCTTAAAGATATCAGCCTATTGTGTTCCAGTCATTGTCGATACCTATGTAATACACTGTATTTTAACAAGTTTTTGGTGTTATCAGGAGATATAAGGATAAATGTAGTTTTTACAGAAACTGTAAAATTTTTGTTAAAAATATAATTGTTTTTATAAAGTTTTGATTTCAAAAATTAAAACTTCTGTGGTGTGATCACAAACGTGAGCCTGCATCTCTGATCCATTGTATATAGACTGTATATAGACTTGTGTGTATTCCAAATGAAATTGGTCCTCTTGTATTTCTTGAAGACTTCAGGTTTGAGAGTAAACAGCAATACTAAAACTAGATGGGTGAGGTCTTTATCTCTGGCTTGTATCATCTGCTGACGATGTGGTACAGTGCAGGGACGTTAAAGAGCCTTCATAGACAGGTGTCTCCTCTCCAATGTCAAAAAGAGGAAAGGAAATAAGAGCAACACCAGCCAAGATTTGAAATGCGGATTCAAACATTTATGGAAAGGGGCCAAATCTGCCCTGAGCGGAAGTGCACCGGCAAAAGAAAGACAGCTGATTATAAGCGGGTTCTTGCTTGCATTCTGCGCGTATGCAAAGACCATACATTAAGGAATGAATTCTTTACGCGCACTCAGCGTGCTCCGCGTCAAACGCGCCATTGATCTCCATCATAAACGCGCGCCTCGCCGCCTATGCAGTGAGTATCAAAACAAACACGCCCTCTATTGTTCCGCTCAGAGCGGATATACCAGGGATACAAGATTCTACATCGTGATGTCCTAGAAACCTTGTTTGGTGTAGTCTTGCACTTTCAAGAACAATAACCCTCATTTACTGATAAACTTGTATTTAAAGATACACGCATTTCTTTCGATTGTTGCACGTGTTTTCCATACATGTATGTGTCAGTGGGGGGTGTCTTCATTACCAAACTCCCCCCTTTCCTTGCCAAGCCCACTGACAACTATGCACTTGTCAAACCAAATTCTGAGCCACAGACATCTTTTTTTACCGGGTGATAAACTTACCCGTATTGGAACTCTCCTGGCACACATTCTGTTATGAGAGACACATGTTGTCAGAGAGGTACGCACATGTTGTGAGAGGGGTGGACACCGAAAAAAAGACATTTTGCACGAAACGTTTCACTCCCAAAGAAACAAGCAAAACAATGGAAAGATGTGACACCACTTCAAACATTATCTTTCCTGTATTGAGTTTTATTGATCACCAGACGTGCCAAGACTCATCCCTAGGTTCTTGAGGTCCTACTAACAGCGTGAAGAACATTACTGGGTTTCATAATACAAGTGCTTTCAATTTTTGGACGACTTTTTTTGAGACACTGACAAAAGCAATTGAGAACCGAGTCGCGCATTAACTTGAATACAGTTGTCTTCAAGGATGTTGTTATAGAGGCTGTGCATGGAAGTCGTCTTACAGTGCAGTTCTTTGTTCCACAGAGAAACCTCTTGGGTGCGTTCGCGTGACTACTCCTGTTTATACAAGTAGGATTCGTACGCATTACACTCAGGTGCAGGAGTATACTCCCCCGCTAGCGAGAGTATACGCTCACTGAAGTGCAGATCGTACTACAGCCATTCAAGTACTCAGGAGTATACTCGTATTAACGCTAGTACCTCGCTTGAATGCACCCTGTTTGCGCATATTCTGCAGAACAAAAGCACTGGCCTGCAAGATGGCAGCCACGAAAACCCTCTAATGACAGCCCACATGATTAAACTAGTGCCAAGTCAGCAAGGGGCACTTTGAACCAGTCATCCCGTTGTCACACCAACATCATCATCTTCACCACCATTGTCACTCACTTTCCTTGTCTTCACCACCATCACCCCTCATCTTCACAACCATTTTTCCTCGCTTCGTTATCGCCACCACCATCACCCCTCCTCCCTCATCTTCACCACCATCACCTCTCACTTCCTCATCCTCACCACCATCACCTCTCACTTCCTCATCCTCACCACCATCACCCCTCCTTCCTCGTCTTTACCACCATCTTCTCTTCCTAACCCTTGTCACCGTCTCAACCTCAGGAAGAAGGCATGCCGGCACTCCCGACTGTCCTGGGGGTAGTACTTCTCGTAGAAGTCCAAGATGAACTCCTCGGGCTTGAAACCAAACTTCTGATACAGGAGCATGGCCGAGTTGGTGGCCGAGACATGAAGGGTGACGTCCTTGCCCATGCATGTCTGAAAGAAGAACCAACAAAAGATGGCGGTACAGCCAGCAGTGTTGTAGTCGAGTCCATCACAAGTCCTTACAAGTCCCTACCAGTCCATCACAAGTCACTCTGTCAGTGTCACTCAAGTCACTCTGTCAGTGGCGTAACCAAGAGGGGCACCCTCCCCCCTCTACCATTTGATCAAAGCCTGTGCCCCCTGTGAGCCCCCCTACCCTCAGAAATTAGAGAAGGGAAAAATCTGTTGACGGTCAATGTTTTAACTGTGACCAACTCCACTTAGTGCCCCCTCCAGAAAATGAGGGCCCCGCCCAGCAAAATCTTCCCTAGTTACTAGGCTACTGCACTCGGCCTTATGTCAAGTCACAATGTATCCAAATGAGATGCAACAAAAGTATTTCTTTGTCTTTGTTCACCCTGTGACTTAATATGTCCTGTCTTGTGGAAGGACTTGTGACTGGACCTGAGAAGGAACTTGTGAAAGACTCCACTACAGCACTGTAGGCCATTGGCATGGGAAGGCTATTTTGATGAGGGGGGGTCAACTTTGATATGAAAAGGGCACTTGGAATCCATGTTTAAATGTAGGTGGCACTCTTCATGCAACGTTGCGGCTTGACATTGACTGCGACATCAGTGAAGGCATTGCTTAAAAAGAGTACTCATGGAAAAGGGCACTTAAGGGCACTTATGGACAAAAAAGGACTTGTAACAAAATATGGGGGGATATGGAGGAAATCGTTCATACAGCACAAAGGCACTTTAATCTGTGACTAATGAATTTATATCAAAGTTAAACTAAAAACCCTCAAAAGAAGGAGGTCATGGGTTGACGTCCCACTCAAGAACAAACAATCACTGCTTTGTAGCCAAATCCATCCTTAAGTCAGAGCACAACATTGGCCACATTTATACCACATTTGATAGGGAACGGTCCCTGGGGAACGGTCAGACAGGGAGACTTTTGTCACGTTTCAGGCAGACAGCCAGTGTCTTGACACTCAAGTACGGAGGAGATATGCGCTCGTCAGATTTCTGCTCAAGGTCGAGGACGGGTGAGGCATACATGGAATTAGCGAGGGATCAGTAATGCTACCAACGGACCCCTTATCTGGCAATCACACCTATATACAATCTTCAAGAAATAGGCTCGCTCATACCTAGTCCAAGACATCTGCATTCTTGTCTTCAATGAACAAGAAATCCGGTCTCAAGGCAAGATAGGAGGCCATCAAGTTTCAATTTGATGTCAGTTTCAGTCGTTCACCAGTGATGGATAATTTAGTCAGGGGCACCTGGCTTCACCCGCAGATTTACATTTAAGGCAGCAGCGTATCCAGCTTTGGGTGTCGGGGGGGGGGACTAAATTCAAAACTGAATGAAGCTTCGGGCTCATTCCACATGATGTTGGGGGAGAAAAAAAGATCAAAGCCCCCTTACGGTCTCGACATCCTTGCCTTTATTGCATGGTGTTGGTTCTTGGTGCAAATATTTGATAAAGAAATAAACACCAAGTATTTTCTTTCCTACTTACCTTTGATGTTTTCTTTGTAAAAAAAGGAAACAAAAAACCCCTCCCCAAAAAGTTCTGTGGAGGGGGGCCAAGTTGACCTCTGCTGGATATGCCACTGATTTTAGGTCAACCATCTGTACCATCACAAAGTTGAACGACATGCATTTCTTTGTGTGGTGTGGATGTTTGCAATATGGTATTCAATTTTCTTTTACTTCTTATGTGTGTGTGTGGGGAAGGAATATTTACATGCATGTGTCTGCTGTTCTACGTTTCTGCTCATACAAAAAAGACAGCTTTGCAGTCACGATTTTGTAAATGTTTTGGCTTCTTTGGTAACCGCTAACCCTGCCGGACGCATCATAGTGCAGCAGGTGGAATAGTCTGGTGTATTTTGTGTTGCACTTGGCAATCAACAGCAGCCAAACAAACTGGCCATGTTGAGACAATGGGAGCTAGTCCCATAGAACGATGCCATGGTGGGATCCTGTGGTGGCTGGTAACCACAGACTCCCAGGCTGTTTGGCCTTGGGGAGAGTTGACCTGTTGGATCATGTTACACCGGGTGAGCAAGTGACAAAATAGACTGGTGTGTCTGGCAGGGTGTATAGCCGAAATGCCCTAGAGGGTTAGGATTAACATTTTGTTTTAAAGGCGAGAACAGTAAAAAATGAAGTTGTTAAACTCTGGCGATGAGCAAGGTTGAGGTGGTGGTATGCTGAAATGGTCTTCTGAAGATCATATGGGGTGGAGCGGACAAGGTTGGGTGGGGCAGGATTGGTGGTGTGGCAGGGTGGGGGGGGGGGGAGCCTGGGCATCAGCATCACTTGCTTACCTGTATCAGATGGTACACCATGAAAGTTCCGATGCCCACACCCCTCCACTCTGGGTGCACGAAGAGGAAGGAGATGTAGGCCTCGTTGAACTTGACATCTGGCACCATGAAGCCAAAACCAATGACCACCTTGCGATAGAGGACCACCACACTGAAGTCCGGGTACTGGAGGCACTCCGACACTGTCCGAGAGAAAGAAGTGGATGAAAGGCTGTTTGAGTGGTGGTTATTAACCACTCCCTGCCGGGGATTCCGGATCCTGACACGTATGCTTTAAATGCGTGGCCAGGGTCTCCGAACTCGGACAAAGGGAACTGGGCCTTGTAACAAAAGACTGTACTCGGAACAAAAGACCAGGCTGCTGAGAATTACCAATATTTTTTCACTCTCAAAAGAGGAGATAATCCAGCCTTGTTTTGAAACAGTATACCATGGGTTGGGCCTTTAGAGCGAGCGGATTACCACCGGGGACAAAAGCACCCCACCACCGAAGCGATGAGCCACACAGCACTGCTGCATGCTAATCTGGCGCCTATTGAAAAGACGCCAGCAGCACACTGAGCCAGGTTCGTGAACAAAAGAAATTATATAACACTGCAAAATCTGGGCTCTTCGTGAACAGTCTTGTATCTGGTCTTGTGACTAGTCTTAAGTCTGGTCTTATGGATGGTCTTGTAATGAAAGTATGATGGCCTCAACTCAAACACTGACTGTAAACTTACAGTCTATTCCTGGCCAGAAAAACTCCCGGCACAGGCTGTTGACAGAGGGGATGTGCTGGGGTCGGAGGTAGCAGTAGTCGATAGGCGCCAGGGGCTGGGGCGTGAAGCTAGGGTCACACTGCTTCCGATGCTGCATGATCTCCCCCATCAACCGGAGCTTGGTGGGGCGTGACTCGTAGTCCCTCCTGATGAAGGGTTTCAGCACCCTGTCCAGTAACCATGGTAACATCATAAATTGGAATTACCAGTTTGTGAATGGTGTTGTTAAATCTCGTTACCCCACTTTCTCCTATTAATGCTCGTAATAGCTATTCTGCACTTGGACGTTACACAGTACCTCACGAGTGTTTTTTAATGAATGCAGATGTATGCAAAACAGCTTTGTTTTAAAGTTCTTCTTCCAAGTTCTGAAGTATGCTGAAATGTATGGCTGTAGAGTAAGAAATAGGAAGAAAGCTCAAAACATTTTTTCTTTATAAAACAGGTTTTGCCTTTACCCAACGTATGTATTGATAAACACTTTGTGCTCAGTGCTTGTCCGAGAGCTTGTGAAAAAACTTCACAAGCTTACTCGGGTGGGACTCGAACCCATGAACTCCTGCTTACTAGCGCAGACGTCTAACCTCAAACAGGAAGCTGAGTTGAATGAGTGTGCTAAAGGAGTATTTAAGTATTTAGATAAAGTTTGGTGAAGTATGGAATGTACAGATACTTGCAAAACATATTTCAGCATCCTTTTCTTCGTCAGTTGAGAGCTTTAAATGTACGTAATACGCAAATGCGCATTTTTCTTATCGCGCACCAGTTCCTGTTTGAACGTTTCAATGCAGGTCCAATGCAAAATGTACATCTTCCAATGAACACTCGAATAAAAGGACAAATGATCAATCAAATCCGGTACATCTCTCAAAAGAAGTGTAATCGGTCATCATAAACCAAGCATGAAAAATCCCAGTTCCACAACCTTTGCACTTTGCGGAAATGTCCATTTTATATCGGCGAATGTTTGATGCATAATTTTAATCCTTCTGAAAACGTTGCAGCTTTTCAAATTAGATCCAACATGAATTTCCCACGTTTCAAGTACTGGGCGTCCATGTGATCTACCCGAGAGACATAAGCACGAAGCAATGACGTCAACAGGAGTCCACATTTTTTTCGCGTTTGCATAGAACATGCAACTAAACCTCTGTAATATATTCCCATTCGTGATCAAAAGCCTGTTTGCTCAGACCATACAATCTTGTCTTGACTTCCCAATACCTGGTTACCCTTGTTGAATGAACTTTCGATGAGCCAATGTAGGTCCCCTCTTTTTGAGTGATCACTTCAGTCACGGCAAATTCCAATCCAACTGCTCCCTCCAAAATCTCAACAAGGATGAAAATTTGGTCATTTCAGATCTGTCTTTGCTGTTCCAACTGCTGATTTTGAGAAGAGAACTGCTCCAAACAAACACAAAAAGACAACGATGGTGGAAAGTCGGACACACTACCTGGATGTGTACGGAGATATGATACTCTGCATCATGGCCACCTCGTCGCAACCGACCAGCCGGGCCCGGAAGGACGTGTGGTGGCGCTGTTGGGCACGTACAACAGTATTGGGCATCTGTATTGAATAAACGAAAAAGCGGACTTATATATATTTTTTTATTTTAGAACTTGTGTTTTCCTCATTCCATGTAAAAAAATCTTCTACCCAGTGAGATGAGTAAGATAATACAAAGGAATGTAGCAGAGAAAACATCTTAAGCGGCGGTCTGACAAAATCCTAATTTAAGCAGAGCAAGAGAAGTGAACATTTTTATATGACTTTTGCATTCTTTCTTTCACACCCAGCGAAATCAAAAATAGAAAAGCTAAAACGACACAAAGACTTTCCGTAATTTCAATTACTGCCTGCACTAAAGTGCAATCTAATGTTAACCCTAACAGTCCTCAATCCTTCACCTGTTGGAGGATTGAGGACTGTTAGGGTTAATGTTGCTGTTACAGATTTGAAATAAAACTGGAAAAAATAATGAGCAAATATGCATAGGATCTTGAAAATGTTCATACCTGGAAGCGATCTAGAATGCGATAATCTCCGGTGTCGTGGCTGGACGACACCTTGGACGGGCTGAGGTGTCGCAGGGGGCTCTGAGTCAGCAAGAGGTCAGAGATGGAGGTGGGCTTGATGCCGGTGACCCGCTGGAGGATCTGCTGCACGGTGGCGTCCAAGTCAAACAGCGGCAAGCCCAGGTTTCGCTTCTCCTGAGCAGGAGAGGGAATTTTTTTTTCCAGCTTGTATTGAGGCAAGAGTGGATCAAGGGAACCAATGGGGACGTTCCCCCATCCCCAGAAAGAAAAGACCCAAACCACTCCACCACTCAGAAGGCCACAGAAGGCTACATGAAAAATGTGTAAAATTCTTTTGCCCCCTTCCCCCAAAATCAGTCTCCCCTTGAGAACTTGGTTCTCAATCCGTCGCTGCGTTGAGACAACATAACACCCCACTGACGCTAAGCAAACTAATGTGAAAACACTTCCTTCCAAAAACAAGTGAGATGCCAACAATTCTAGCCTCAACCTTTGGAAAGGTCACACAAGGATACATGAAGAAATTTCCTAATTTTGTTTGGGAGTTCACAGCAATACCTGCCTGACCAGTAGCTTTCGCCTGAGCCGCCTAGCCGCTGGGTTCTTGTCTACGGCCTGAGAGCAGGACTCAAGTACTCGGAGTAACTGTTTTTCCTCATACACACTCATTGGGAGGTATCTATGGAAAGAAGAAAGCCATCACTACAAGCTGTGTTTTGAGTCAGTGTGATTGGGATGTTCCGAAGATTGATTATTTTGGCCTTTGAAGATTTTGGTTGCATGATATCTTTGGTGTTGGTGTGGCCAGTCACTATCACCTTTATGCATGAACTGTTTACGTGCACATAACCAGTAAGAAGGTATACATGAGATCACCCAAAGCCTTATCGAAACTGACTGGCTAAGGCTGGGGATAGCACAGGCATCAATAGGAAGTAGTCGCAGCCACTAACAAGCATGACATGGCATTGTGTCTCTCCCTGACTTACTTGGGCCCTTCCTCCGGCTTCTCGTCCGCTCTGACCTCGGCGGCCTTTGACCTCCGGGTCAGCGCCTTGGAGACGGTCTCGGCCCTGGTGTCGCCTGGCACGGCCTTGGGCTCCCCGTCCTTGTCGGCCTCACTTTCCTTGTCAGTGGCCGTGGAGCCATTGCTTCCCTGGCTGCTGGGCACTGGGGTGGGGATGCGGAACAGTGGGATGCCCTTGGAGGGGGGGATGAACTCCTCCTCGTCCCCTGCCATCAAGGCCGAGGGTATGGTCTCTGCATGGGTGGGGATGAATGGAGTAAGGGGGTGGGGAACAGACAAGGAAGCGGTAATACGGGGGGGGTGAACATGGTTTAATCCGATAAAAGGAGCATCTTAAAAATTCCGATGAGAACATTGCTTGTTTCAAGGGGGAACACCCACTTTCCTTCTTTCTTTAACCACTTCCTGCTGGGGATTCCGGAATCGGAGATGTATGGTTTATATGCGTGGCCGGGGTCTCCGAACTCGGACAAAAGACCAGGCTGCTGGGCATTACCGACATTTTTCACTCTCAAAATGATGAGCCACACAGCACCGCCGCATGCTAAGAGGTCAGCAGTGCACTGAGCCAGGTTTGTGAACAAAAGACAGTTATACAACACCGCACAATCTGGGCTCTGTTTACAAGGCGGGCATCAATGAAAGTCATCTGTCAACTTAGAGTAGTGCCTAAAGATTACTTTGTGCGGCTATAAACGACCGTTAAATGAAATGATGAATTTTTGAAGGATTTTGAAAACGGAAAAAATGATAGTCATGCCAGCTCAGCATCATCAACATTTAAAAATGCCCCGGCATGAAGTGGTTAATAGACCAAGGCGTGTTCCCCAATGGGAACAGAAGTCAATGAGTGTGCACACTATTACTTGGGCATCAAAATTCCTAATCGGGACTTACAGCAAACTCCAACAAGGAATGCACAGTGTTCCATAAAGAAGCATTCCAGAAGGGACATGAATGTTCAAACTTTTGATAAATTCCCTACAACTTGAAGTAAAAAGGGGATCTAACAATTAATTCACATTAATAGCAGGAAAATTTTATTGCAGGGAACTTGCATAAGCCTTGGAATTCAAACAGACATTACAGGCTACAAGAAAAAAGTGAAAAAAACTCAGTGAGGTACTTATGAAGACATGCCTACTGCTTTTGAGCTCCTACGAGACCTTACCTGCCGGAGTAAGATCGCTTTCGTTCAGGAGGTTGGAGAGGAGGAAGTCAGAGCTGTTGTCACCTCCCAGTAAGCTCAGGACAGAGGGCGAGTCGGGAACAGAGGGAGGTAGCCCAAAGCTCTGCAACGAAGTTGGTAGAAGAGGAGTTTAAGTGACAGCTGTTGAAGAAAGCGAGGGGCTTAGGAAATGAATCTGCATCTTGGCCTGAGCTGGATTCGAACCCGGGTCGCAGAGATGTCAATTTGGTGAAAAGAAAGGGAGGTACCACTATGCCAGATGGTTCATCACATTTGTTGGCACGATGCCGCCATAATTTTGACAATGGAGTCTGTGCACTGTCTGATATGTCCTGAAGCGTACAAAATTTGAGAATGCCCAAACAATGAAGGGTCTCCAAGAGTGGGCATTGGGCGGATTGCAGCTCCCAGGTGTGGGCCTAGCCTGTCCCTTTATTGCCACTGAGGGCGGTGCTTACGCAAGAAAACCAGAGCTGTTTACAGAGAGAGTTGCAACACGAGTGTCTCAATTAGTGGAACCAAAATGGTGGATTATGCACCAGTGCATGCGGAAAATCAACGCACAATAGCTGCATGGTGCTGCACATGATGAACAGCCATTTTGGTTTCAAAACCTGGAACTGGCACTGCTCTCTCTCTCTGTCTTAGGCAGCTCTGACGGGGACCCAAACCCACGTACCTCGCTGCCAAAGCTGTCCATGCTGCTGTCGTCGATGTCCAACTCCCTCTGGAGTTTCACCTTCTTGGTGAGCTCCTCGCTGGCGATAGCCTGCTTAGCCCTGCGGATGTCCTTGGCCTCCTGCCATTCAATTACCAGAGGGAAGAAAAATTATAACAAATGAGACAAAAAGTTGAAGAACAGAATTGATTAAATAAATTTCAGCCATTCGTTGTGGAGTTTTGGATTTCTTTTTTGTAAAAATTCAGAAAAATAATATCTTTAGAGTTATGAATACCTGTGTTCTGCTTCTTTTTTCCTTGAGTTCAATAGCCGACTCAACAGACGTTCCCCTCTTCCTGTTCCTCAACCCCTCCACCTTAATGGTTGGTTCAAAGGGAACCTTGGTTTTCCTGCCAGCTGCATACTGCTTCCCAACACCAGCTGGAATAGTCCAATGAAAAAATAGGGGAGATAAAACATGGGGTGACCTACATTTCTCAACAATCGCAATAAGCCTTTTGCAAGTTAACAAATCTGGTACACTGAGTTCTTTAAATTCACAGGAAGATAACAATTTTAATTCTCCTTACTAAAGACACTGTTGCCATACCTCATGGTTCGGGGCAAGCTTTTACTTAGTTACATAAGAGATGCCTTGCCTCAATACACTGTTCTCAATGGATAAGAAGGGCACAAAGGAACCAGTCCATTCCAGAGATAGTGGTCGCTATGCGAAAGCTTGCCCCGAATCACAAGGTATAGCAAGTGTCTTTAGTCTGGGGAATTCAAATCGTTATGTTTATGTGCAATCAGATAAGACAGCGCACAAGATTTTATTCAACTTTGACTCGCAAATGGCTTCTTGCTTTGACGGCAGACAAAGCAAGCTGACGGAAATGTCTATCTGATAGCCACTAGAGGATACCAAAACCCAATCTAAACCTGATTCTGCTGTCCGTCGCATTCAGGGTATTGTCTTGGTGTCCTTATTTGGACACCCTGTGGCTACTTATTGGCAACCTCTTTTGCTATGTAAAATACTAGTAAAGGAACAAAACTTCAGCCCTTTGGACGCTCGCTTTATTTTTAGCTTAAGACAAATTTAGACATCCAATCTTTGCATTCTGACAAAAACCGGGCTCCTTGAGATGCTTTCTCGTTTTTATTTGGAAAGAAAAGGCCCACTGCATTGTTCTGTTTCTTTTTCCTGCTTTATGTTTCTTTGAGCATCAAAAAGCTCCCTGGTTGTAAGTGCTTTTGATTTGGAAGGAAACGATGAAACAAACTATATAGGGATTTATGACTCAATGTTCAAAAAGCCGTATCCTCTCTGAGTGATCTCTGTTCATCACTTCCCAGGTCGTATTGTGTAATTAGAGCGTAATCCCTGGCTATATGGTGTTTTGCATTAATGGCTTCTGACCAGCACCCCCCCCAAACAAAGATATTGACAAATGGGAAGAGCCACCAACACAAAGCTGGATGGCTCAGTTGGTAGAGCACTGGTACGGTATTCTAGAGGTCGCAGGTTCAAATCCCTCTCCAGTCAATTTCTTTGTTCATCTTCATAATCATAGGAAGATAAGAGAAAGGAAAGAGAGGTCAGCTTACGAGGCACCTCCGGTTTCAGCTCTGGTGGTTTCATCTCAATGAGGGACCACCATCCTGCCTCACCGAACTCGGATACACCCGACTTGAAGAGGGACTTGTTGCTGACGGAGAGGACCCCGGCCACTGTACCGTGCCACGTCTGGGTCTTGGCTTTGCTGCGAACGAAGAAAAAAACAACCTAGTCATATCGGCAACGATGATATGGGAATTACCAATGGCTTTGAGGGGCATCGTAAAAGAAGCCTACCGAGTAAGTTACTGAGTGCTTCATATCACTGAGTCAGTGTTGGCGATTTGAGTCACCAATTTCGTCAGGAGTCAGACTCGAGTCCCAATTTTTTTGAATTGGGACAGGACAAGGAACAAAATGAAATTGGACTTGACTTAGGAGAAACATGACATGTAACATGAATAAATTTGACCAACTGAAGTTGGAAAAGACACAAGGCAGATGCATCTTAATACAACGTAAACCAGAAACCAAAACAAAACCCTGTAAAACCAAAACCTCGAAGTATACCTCAAGTTAACTCATGGTCAATTTTGCGTTCTTCTCTGGCTGCTTTCAGTTTAAAGGCTTTACACACTAACAGCAAATCCTGAAATACCTGTTGCCAAAAATCAGCGTCCAGTGCTGGGAAATGAATTCACAGATGTCCTCCTTCCATCGGAAGAACCCCTTGCGACCGCTCTTCTTGAGGCCGAGGTTGTAGAGAGCCAAGATGACCACCTGTTGCCTGGCAACCGAAAAAAGGAGACAAAGCATCTCCCAAGAATTGAGGCTCTGTCTGGTGGGAGAAAAAGCTTTGGTGACGTTTGACTTTGGTTAATCTTTCCAGCCAATTTGATCCATTCTGTGAGGCACAGTTCTCCTCATGATTGCAAATTTCACCCAAAAAGGGGGTAGGAATCAATTCTGTTTGATTCATTTAATAAAAGAACCACCAAGGCCTCGCCAAGAATCAAAATGAAGGCTTGACCCTGGGATTTGGAAAACTCGGTGAATGTTTAGCTGTCACTTTTGATGGGAACCAAACTCTTACCACGTGAGCTTCATCCGCGCAACCACCTCCTCATGGGTATGACTACAACCCTCACACCTCAGGGTGAAGTAAGAGTCGCCATCAAGCGTGCTGGGGTTCCCCGTCTTCAGGCAACCTGTAACAAGGAAAACTTAATTCCGTTTGTAACAAAAATTTTTCAGCGCTGTAAATTTGACAGAAAAGGCATGCGACTGATTGCGGCAGGATTGACGGACCGTGTGGCAAGCTGGACCGATACTGCGGCGACCAACGATTCAACCAAATGATTCATCCAACAATCTCACCCATGTGAAATCTCCTCTTGCACATGTCACACTGCAGCATCAGGCCCTCCTTGGGTCTGTTACAATAACACTGCGGGTCGGTGTCCTGGGGTGTAGTAGGGTCCTCAGGGGGCTCTGCGACGACCACAGGCGAGGTCTGCTCCGAGGCGGTGACCTCAGCCTTCACCTCCTCGCTCGATTTGGTGTCCATAGAAACGACGTCAATCTCCTCGACATCCCCCTGTCATATCGCCAATTGATACAATGTCTGATTACCACAGACTAATCCGACTACTGGAATCAAAACCCATTACCCTGGTAAAAGCCCCCTCCGTGGCAATCTCTACACATTAGCTGAATACTTGTATCTGCTTGATCAAACGCAGGCTGAGACATGCCAAACAGCAAGTGCACCCGAGGTTCACACAGATGCGCAAAGGTACGTACATGTACACATTGGTGTGGTGTAATCTAAATGAGGCCTTCTCCTAAGATAAATCTTCACCATCATAGAATTTCTGTCAAGGTAATTATTCCTACCAACACTTTTGCACTTCAACGATAATGTATTTTCTTTGGAATGCGCTAAAGAGAAAAATCCAAAACCACTTACTGGATCAATAGCTTCCTCACTTGACACAGAAATTTCTTTGGCCAGCGACATAATCTGATGTTGTGGCGATGCCTGATGGGGGATCCTTCCGCAAGAGGGCAAAAATGTCTGTCAATCTGAAAAGTCAGTCAGTGTTAGTAAGGATCAGAACAACCAACACAGTGCAATCAATCATTCCACTTACAGAAGGCAGGATCCTGACTGATACCATAAGTTTTAACTTGGCAATAAATTTGGGGGCTAGGCATGCTGGGGCTTGCCTGAAAAAAAATCAACCGTTCTCCAGAAATCAATGGTCAAATTCAGTGGAAATATAAATAAATAGTTTAAGTTTTTGCCAAAAGACTTCATCAGTATCATCTTAATACTACAACATGTATAACCAGTCATGACAAAACTAAGGTAATAATAAGCTACACGCATTTGGTGATAGAGCATATCACAACTGGTCAATACAACCATGGAGGAACACAACCAGACAACGATCAACACCTGCAGCATTGCATGCAAACATGTAATTTCAAATCATACGTATGTCGCGATAACAGCACATAACGGGTTTACGCAAAATAAAATATATGAATGGCACAATAAACACAAGATCAAGGTATTTTAGTTGTGTGACGGCAATGCACGATGTCTTACCCTTTACGGTGATCGATCTGCACGCAAAAAGTGCACAGCGCCACCAATAGGTGAGAGTTGTCCAGGGAGAGCTAAAAATAACTTCATCTGAAAGTAGTCAACTAGACAGCATGAGCCCGCGACTTTGAACAATGCCTGTGGATATCCTTGGCTCGCGAGCCGTCCAGAGATTCCGCCGATCTTTGCATTTCCAAGATGACAAGAGTCCACTTCTGCATGATTTGGGAGGTGAGTGTTGAAGATGGTGGTTTTTTGGGGTCGAGGGAAGGTGAAAGAGTGTTGAATGTTTGGGAAGGCGAGTCATGGAGCTAGCTAGCCGTGATCTCACACAACCCGGGAAACACGGCGATGTGGAAGATGCACTCAGCGCGCGGCACCAGGAATTTGTGGCAGGTGAGTGTGAAGTTCTACCCGCATTGTAAGTTGTAGCGTTGAACGTATCAAGTGCTGGGCTCTGGCACTCACCTACAATGAACCAAGTATATTTTAACACAAGTGGAAGGAGACCAAGGGGTCACCTCCGATTTTTTTCCAAGCAGATTGATGGTTTTCAGTTCCTTCAGTTTTTTTCCCATTTCGTTTGTTCTTTCTTGTTCTCTGTCTTCTTTTTCATTTGTCATTATTTTCCTTCAGCAAGTCTTGAAAATAGGTTCGTACGGGAAATGTTATAATATATGAACTTCCACAGTCATGATTGACATTTTTTTTTCTCGATTCACCCGCTGGACTCTCACGATCGGGGCTGACTTACATATTAAAATCTTTCCTGAGTGGTAAGGTAAAATGGCTCCGCTGTTACTGCTTGTCATCATGTTTGTTCAGTCGACTGTGGTATGGTGAGAGCATCCTTTGAGCATTGAGGTTTGGGCCCGTCGCAGGCGTGTCCTCCAATATCGTTCTTGCCCCGAAAAGTGGCCATTCTTGAAGACGCCGATGTACAGGTCAATTGTTTATACCGGTCGGAGTGCTTAGGGTCACAGGGGGGTGTGCATTTATGCCTCCGTCACTAAAGTCCCCTCTGGGAAGAGATATTTACTCAGTGTTCAAGCTATTTTCGTGTCATTGTCAGATGCTCCTCGCCAATGAAATGTGTAAAATAAAATATTTGTTTCTGGTACGAATTTGCTGTTTGAATGAATGTTGATCACCTTTTTTTAATCAGTTCTAGTTAACAAGAACATGGAGGTAGGAAATACCTCCATGGCAAGATTGTGCAAAGCAGTAGCACATATAACAAGGACACTAGACACCACAGTGTTGACAACAATGCTTCGTCAGGGGTCGTAGGTCATTTTTGTTTGCAATGTCTGTTTACGCTGTAGGCCCTCTTTTGTTTCGAAAACAAGGAGCAGGTTTCAAAATGCAGTGCTAATTGCGCTGCTTGTGTAAGTTGTGTACATGTAATTTAAGACCTCGAGCCCTGCCATGCAAATATTATTTCACAGGTTGGCCATTATCATTGTTGCACAAGGTGTCTCCCACGCATGCCTCATCGGAATAAATAGTTTTCCCTGGCTATATAAGATTACACAAATGCCGTGCATTCCCTGACAAAATATCATTCGGCGAAGTGGTCTCAGCGTGTTGTTGCAAAAGCAGTATTGTCCGGGTTCTTGATATGCTTGTCACGTTACAGAATCATGTACGTAGGCCTATATACGGCCGAGTTGTGAAAAAAGTACGAACAATCTTTGGACTCGGCTCTACATCTGCCGTCCATCGACTGCGCCGACTCACTGTCAAAAGCTCTTTCTTGAAACAAGCCTTAATTCTGACCGCGGCTCTGTGTCAGCTAGAGGTTGGTAAATTGCTTGAGGGCAGACAAGTTTCGTGCGAGGATGTATACGTTAGTGTTGGAAAATATGTTTGAAGACAGGCATATCACAATACTGCCGTTTCACAATAGTGCGCCACCAAGAGTTTGCCACGCGTTGGCCAATCACAATGCGCGAAAGTTGTCGACTCAATGCGCGTTTAGATAGGGTCGACAAATTTCGAGCGTTGTGATTGACTAACGCGTTGCAAACTCTTGGTGGCGCACTATTGTGAAATGGCCGTATTCACCATGGATGAAAGGGGCGATGTTTTCGTCATTTGTAGGGTCACATCAAAATTTTCTGTACGTATTTTTGGGTTACGGTCGTTCGTTCTCCGGATCGAAAACCGCATACAAATCCTCTGACGTTAAAAAGTGCCTGTTCTGTATTGATTTTGTTTCTTTCAGTTTCAATTCAAATTCATAATCGTTACCCTTGTTCCACAGTAGGGGATATTGCGGGGAAATGTGAAACGAAAGCAAACTAAAGTAAAAAATAATCACAAATTATGCTTTATATTAAAAAAAGAACACAAACAAAGCAACTCCTGCCTATTTTAGAACAAGTAACTGAGCAAAACAAAGCACCGTTTATGCTCTTTCAGTACACTGGAATTATTACCAAAAAATTGCACATGAAACTCTCTGAAATGGAAACTTATTTTTCCCCTTTTTATTTAAATATTGGGGCTTTTGTTTTCGGCGCCCAAATTCAGTTTACGCGCCTATCAAGAAGAGTGTTTCGTAAACAGTTCTTATGAGACACAACGTACGTCTTCTAGTATAGTACTGAAAATGAGTCAACCTGACTTCAGAACACTTTCGTATGTGGATGAGTCTGTTTGTGCATTCAATTGGGGACCCTGAACAATAGAGGACAATAGGGTCCCCGATTGACAGAGGTTCCCCGATTGACAACTGTGTACAAAACATATGGGTGGTCTTCTACAAAAAAATTAAAATACAAACAGAAGAGGAACAATAGGGGGCCCAGTTGCAGGCAAATACATACTTTCTTTTTTTTTACATTGCTTCTTTTTCCCTCATGTACATTTTGATCAAATGTGTTTAAGAAGTAAGTATACTCAGGGCCCTTTTAAATTTCCTGAAATATCTGAATTCTTTTAATTCACCAGGATGGAAATGAGAGCATCAACGCTCAAATTCGTCTAATCAGTTCACATTGCGCATGCCTTTCAGCTCGACAAACCATACAGCATTGAAATCAAATCCACGAGCGTCTGTCCGGCCAGCTTCAGTTTGTTGATACACAATTGGAATGCGTATCTTTTGATGCAGACTCCCCCAACGGATAGGCAGAGAGAGGGGGGGAGAGGGAAAGACTTAAAGAGCGGATGTGTACACGTCTATCCATTCAAGCTGCGACTTTTTCTTCAGCGTTTCCCTAGGGTTGCACGAGAATAGACCCGTGTCTGTGTGATTTATCGATTGACTTCCATTGTTGATTATCACCTTGTTTATTTACTGGATTCCCCCCCCCCTGTATAAACTCCACGTGTGCCGTTTTTTTGCCAGCAGACTTGTCTCTGTTTGCTTTCCTTCTCGTTGTTTTCGGAAATGGACGGCGCTACGTCTCAAGATAGACCTGTTACGGTACTTAACTTTTTTCGAGCTTTTCCTGTAATCCCTATGTGAACATGTGTGCTATCGGATGTATCTTCCAGGTACTACGTACAGTGGCGTAGCTACATGGTGGGGGGAACAAGGGGGCACCAGCATCTTATGGGGGGGGCACCAGCTTTCAGTAGTGTGTTTTTAGAGGCAAGTATTTTGTTAGCCTTGTTCAATATCCATTCCTCCGTTTTTTTGTCAGTGGGAGGGGGCACCGGGAATTTTTTTTTGGGGGGGTGGGATGTGCCCCCAGCCCCACCCCCCATTGTGGTTATGCCACCGATTGTGTACCCAACAAAATTTGAATTGAAGTTAGTGGAACGACTTCTTTGTGCACGACAAAAAAGGTGAAAACTAAAACAGTATGGGGCGTGGTAATTGTTTCTTTTAAAATGAGTTTCACACACGGTGCAATGCTACACAGGACAGACACTGTCACAACATTTATGTTTTTTATAAGATTGGTGAATGAATTACGTCTTGTTATTGATGAAATAATGTCTGATAAATAAGATGGCTGGACTATTGAAAGTCAAATGCCCATATCTTATTTATTATAGCGCCTGGCTACCAATTATGTTCAGTAAACGTATACCCTTCTGAAAATATAAATGTATTATAAATTATATATAAACACAGACCTGAAGCATATTTCTTTTGTGTAAGTACGGACAGTCATCACAACCCTGGACACCTCCTTCGTCACTCAACCCGACCAAAATGGTGTATCTAGGTTTTGATTACTGCCTGGAACACAAACGAAATATATTTCCGGTCTGTGTTAATTGATTGCGAGGGGAAAGCAATTTATATATGATTTATAATACGCTGACATACGGGCAACGGTAAATGTATAAGCGTTCATATTTTCAGAAGGGTATACGTTTACTGAACGTAATTAGTAACCAGGCTCCTGTTAGATGGGTAATGTGACGCAAAATGAAGTCAAAGTTGAATGATCGCTGCAATTTACAATTTAACACTACAGTCCATGTAAGGTTCAATAGTCTGTTAAATAATTGAATTCAACGTAGTCTTCTGCTTGTTCAGTCCAGTAAATAGATTCCAGTCTTCACCTGTTCTTCTACACCATGGAAAGCAAATCTTTGCTAAGAAATACTCATTCTTGGACTTGCTTTATTTGGTTGTATGATCTAATTTTTATACCTCATGTTTGGTCTAGGTGCAAGATAGGACCATTGACAAAAAATGCGAGCTTAGTATGATATTGGGTACATTCGTATCCTCGTAACTGTATTTCTGATCACCTGCCAATGATAACAAATAACTTAGCAATAAATAAGCAAAGGACATGTACATGTAATAGGAGCAATGAAAAAGCGAGAATAAACAGTGAAATTGGTAAATGAGCAAGGAAGGGGTACGTGAGCAGTGTAACGAGCGATGAAATGAGCAAGAACAGAGCAAACTTTCTAACTTAATGGGTTTGCAGTGTGATCCTAACAGACAAGTACAACTCAAACTCTACAGCAATATTCAGACCATTGGGACATTGAACCTCCCAAATGTCAGCTACCACGTGCCAATACTTTCCTAATAGGCTGCACCTAACAGTCTGTTCAGTGAGGGATACGTAACTTCAATCGATTCGCCAAAACTGCCTTTGAATCTTTTATTCGTTGGATTAGACAACGGCGGATTGAACCATATACTGTATTCTTACTCTTATGTTTATAGTGTGTACGTTTTACTCCCGTGTTTTCTGCAGTGCAGTCCATACTTTTAAGGACAATGTTGACGGTGTAACTCATGATTTGGGCTGTGATATACACAGACATACAAATTGTGTCGTGCAGGGAATCGATAATAAGCCTCCTATATAACACGACTATTTGAAAACCCCGCGAAATTTCAGACCTGTCGATAAGTGGATGACTAGACGTGGGATATGCCCGGCTGCTTGCCGTTTATAGATGACTCGGTG